GTATTTGATCCTGAGAATTCCGTCACTTATGTAGATTCATGCTCGCTACCAAGTGATTGCTTGGCGATCTAGTAGCTACGCGCAATCAGTACGTGGAATGTCATTAAGCAAAGTTTTAGACTTAGAAATTCATTACTCCGGACAAAAAGGTTCGTTTTGTACTCATAGAGGATTTTCGATCGTTGTGCAAGTTGATGATTCTGTACATGACCATATGCCAAATATATTAACCCGTACTACCAAATAAATTACTGCGATCTGAGGAGTTCAGTCATATAACTGACGCGCATGACCACCGTCCCGTTATTCAGATTCCATGCGGCGATCGCAGCAGCAAGCAACGACAGAAAACGTCGGTCTGCGCCCAAACACCCCATTCCGCTTTAGAAATGCGCATGCCGAACGAATCGAAAACTGGTGACGGATAACGAGAAAGGCCGTGTCTGACTTCTGAGCAGTGTGATACAATCCCGAAGTATAATTGACAGCTGTCATTGTGGTATGTTTGCATTTGGTATTCGTACTGGGAGCAATCCACAATTCATTCCAGTGTTCCAGTACCAGTGGTGTGTTAACACGGTGTTTAAAAAATCTACTTCGAACTCTAGAGGTGACGAGTTCCGTTTCGCTCAGTGGCAGTCTTTGTCATATTTACGAATTCCCTTTAGCATGGAGTTTGCCACACACTGCTTCAAACCAGGGTAGCTCAGCGGCAGAGAGTCGAACTCAGAACTTCTGAGTTCAAGCCCCGGTTGGGTCGTTTATACTTTCTTCTTTCCGAGTTTGATAAATGAATACCACTCTGTGAGAAAGAGATAGGAGACTGCACTCACCGTTTGCCAAATGGCTATAGACTCTACCTGAGAAGAAAAGTTCGCGTGGCTTAATGCTTGGAAACGAAGTTCAGCACTGCACTATCAACCTCATGAAAAGGAGGGCGACAAAATGGTCCGATTATTAAAAGGAGAGAAGACCAACATTTCAGCGGTGACAGACTTTCCTTATTTTACCTTCCAGTATAAATACGATTACAGTTTTTGTGGCTGATGTGATGAACAGCTGTGCTTCAAGGATGCTTCATGGCTGACAGTGAATTCACTTATTCACAAAGGATCCAGAGAGATTATGGGTTTTGTTGAAGGCGCGAAAATCTTGTTCCAGATGATAACCTGTAGATATAGTACAAACTCCTTGAATGAAGGTGTTGGAGATGATGAATTAGTTGCACTTCCAGTTTTTATGTAGGGCGGGGATATTAGACTTCAGTTAGCCATAGGAAAGTGGACATTCATTTTGGGGAACATCTTATTCAGCAAGTTGAACTGTTTAACTAATTTATAGCAGTGAATTCAATGCAATACTTTTGCAAAGTGGGTCGATGTATGTTTTTATGAGGATAACTAATGAACGGGGCAGTTGCTTGTAAACATTTTGTGTTTCTCTATAGACGTAATAACGAAACAGAAGCTGTGATTTTTCTCTGCCTCAGAGGTTAAGGCTGCACATCTGTCAGGGCCAGCATCTGTACTATTAGCGTAACAAAATGATGGGCACGAATTAAAAAGGTTCGGTTCATATATTCATGCCTGAAAGTCAGAATCTTTCGCTTAGCCTTCAACCGGCTACGTGTCTAATGACTGTCCTTTACAACCCTTCATCAGTTTCCATATCGTTTGTGCCGTGTATTTACTGCGTTTTGCTTGCTTGTCCTTGTGATTTTCTCTATTTTGTTACATTAATTTTACTATATGGTTGTTTATGACTATTCTTCATAATGGCTTCAGTATCAGAAGCCAAAACATGAAAGTAATTATAACGTGAAAGACTTTCGCCCCCATAGCCATTTTGTTGTTGAAGAGGTATTTCAGAATTTTCTGCCATGCATTGAAGAAGAATTTACGAAAATATGTACAGTAGTATTAAATATTGCTGAAGAGCCTAAGTAGAACTTTAAGTAGTTCCCGCGAGTTCTCCTCGCTTTCAAGTCTGTTCGTGGCGTCACATTTTAAACATTCGCGTCGACT